TAGGACGTAAAGCATCAATTCGAAAGTATTTAAGGAAGCTCATCAATGCTTTTTACACAGTTTCCTTCCGAAAGGCAGTGAGATAAACCAATAAAAGTGATGAGAAAAATTGGTTAGGCTAAAGCAGTTTTCCTTGCGATGAATAGATTGTACACTGAGGCAACAAAAATATCTGTTATAGGTTAACAATTTTTGAAACGCGTGCATGCTTGACTTTATCATGCTTTTCATTTGCAATTCTGCTTCTTGACTGAACAACAGGAATCAAGGAAACAGTAGAGATGATCAGACTGTTATGTTTGATCTATGGGTGAAAGCAAAGCCCGTTTGTGTCTATTAAGGACGAGTTGAAGCTGCAAAAGCCGCTCTGAATTTGTGCGTCGAATCTATTGTTATTTTTTTAAGCAAATCTTATATAGATTGAGGTACTTTAAGCGATTACGTATGAAAAAAAAAACGTCCTTTCTTTTAAGAACAATTATTGGCAAGTACTAGTTGGATTGGAAGTTGTTTGATTAGTATATCTGTAACCTACAAATTTTTTTAGCATTGGCTTAGTGTACCCCCGGTGACACTTTGCCGTACGGGTAACCGGGAAGTAAAAATAACACTATCGATACTGAAAGGTCTGCTCCTTGCGGTAACTCTCATTCAGTTTACGAGCCACTTCATGGTACGGCCATGTAGCTATGGATGTGTTGTACCCAATGTGCCGTTTGGCATTGCATGCTTGACTCCCCTTCGACTTTTCTTGGCGAACGGTTTCTTAATCTTCTCACTAGAGATTACCTAAGAAGTCTTCTATTCATGCGTTTTTATAGCATCGGTAGGGAAGGACCGTCATAATAAACAGGTTTCCAGCTGCCATTTAGCTGCGCCCTACTCAACGCCCCTTAGTGACGTCGGGGAAATATGAAGTATAGAAGCACAGCTCTTGAAAAGACAACGAATTTATCTCTTTTCAGCTAAAGGCAACTTCCATAAAGAATATAAATGTATATATTATATATGTAGTCTTATGCTAGTTATACACTGTGTTTGCCATTTTACTACTCCATATCCAGATCCGGTTCGAACATAAAACAATAGATAAAGCACCCGGGTTAATACAGTAATTGCTGCACGGAAGCAATAAAACTTATCCGCTGAAGTTATCAATGTTCGTCCATCGATTAACACTCTTCCTACCCCTCTTTGTGACGGGAGCTGGTTGCCCATTATGCCCGAAATATCGTGATTGGGAAAATCAGATGGCAAAAATCACCATTTGATTATAATGGTGCAACCACTTCACTATAAGTGTGCACAGACAGATGATATAGTGTGTGGCGATATCTATCGACTCGGACTAAAGAAACTTACATAACTTATAGAATAACACTGAAAAATTTAAAGAGTGCCATAATAATTATTATTGCATAACCCTCTACCATCTAACTAATTTGATAATTAGTTTAGGTAGTTTTTAAATCAATGGTACTGGCAATGTGGAAAAGAGGTATCTCTTTAGTAATCTTCCTTAGCAGGTATATATGTAACGAAATGCTAAGTGATCTCATTCCGTCGATGCGGAGACTTAAATGTGTCATCGTTAAGAATTTTTGACGACAGTCGCTCCTTGAGAGTGCCACATTTGCAGGTGGCAATTCCTGCCCCTCTCACAACCTGTGCAACTGCTGCTATCCCCTACTGCAGCCTTGCCTATTAATCAGCACTGATAAGATATCTGATATCGAATGGCTCAAAAATACGGACGCCACTTTGAGAAGGTCTGGATCGGGTTGTGGTTAAAACCGTATCAACATAAAATCTGCTGTTGTCTCCTTTGACTAGATTGAAAGAAAATTGTGATCACGATGTTTCGTCTAATCCAACTTTAATTACCATTGTTTACATCATGAATGAAGAAGGTTTTGAATTAAACGTTTCAGCGTTTGATATCTGAAGCTGAAAAGTGACACGACTCGATCGGGCTGATTTGTGATCCAAACTGAGTATAGTGCAATAAATTGATAAAGAAATTTAATTAATTTTTAATTAAGAAATTTAATTAATGTAACGCTTGTGCGGTTTACGATGCCAAAATACCTGTACAAATAGAAGAGCCTTTAAGCCGATCATGAAGTGCGTGTGTTGTGTCATGTATATTGTAAAGTGCTTCAGATATGCATTCTGTTTATTTAGACCTTGCTAAAACAAAGCATTTTTTTTTATGTCCATGCAAGGCATAATGTAGCGAAGTATTGCAGTTTCTAGCAGCATGAAATAGTTATTATCAGTAAGGTTTGAAGTATTGCGTAACAGCTTCAGGAGAGATTACGGCGCGAAAAAATACCACGGTGTTTAGCGGATTCTGGACTGAGTGACCGTAGAGAATAATTGACGGTAACGAGGGTTTCAACAGTGTAGACTATGGGCCGGGAATAAACGCGTTGTTATAAAAACACGCGTCAGGGTGCAGACATACATTCTGTTGGGGCAATGGCTGAGAATATGATTGACATTGGAAATATTTCGGGTGAACGCTTTGTGGGTTTTGCAAAACTCTGGAAATTAATGTTTAAAGAGTTTTAAGATTTATCTGAAGGATTTTATCTTGAATATGCGGCTTGCGTTTAATCGATTGAGCCGATTTTGGAAGAAGAGTTACTAAAACGTGCATAAAGATGTGCGTGTTATTATGTATAACGCAAATGTGGTTATTATCAAAGGACGAATTAATCCAACTGACAGACAGCAAGGGTTTCTATCGCTTCCTCCTTCGAAGCGTTTTGTTTATCTTTGGAAGCAACAAAATGATTCTTACTATGAAGTGACACAATGTTTAGGTACTTTGAACAGTATACTCCCTACGAGTAACGATTGAATGGGTCGTTCGAAAAGTATTGACTTAAAAGCATATGTCTCAGGTAATATAGTATGTGTTGTGGTATATTTTGAAAACTAATGGATGGGGCAGATGTGCGAAAATTGTTTAAATATTTGTATTCAGACTTGAAAATAAGCGAATTTTCCGCAGAAATTCACTGTAAGTTACAATTCCATTACGATAACGACATAAATGCTGCCCAGGTCCATAAAAATGTGTGTTGTTTATGATCAAGATTCAGTACCTAAAGGTATCTGTCATTTTCGTTCTCAAAATTTTAATGTGATAAATGTTTTTCATAGTGATTAAGGAAATTATTGCGAGACATAAGCAAGACCTAGACGTGAGTAGCTATGAATAGCCAAGACACTAAATATCTACCGCTAAAGGATTTTATAGGATTTGAAGAAGGACTGCAAAAACAAGCCGATGTTTAAGCGCCTCACCAATTGACGTAAACAAAGTTACTCGGTTGTATTCCCATCTGCGCAACGCAGCGAAGTCGAGCCATATTTAAAGCTGTTGATTACGGGCGACAAAAAGTGAATGAGATACGACAATAATGTGCGAATCAAAAAAAAAATACGTTTTGCAGTCTGTGGTAAAGCCCAGATTAACTTTCAAGAAGGTGGTGCTGCATGTTCGATGATATTAGATAGGATTCGTGCATCATGAGTTGTGGTCACCCGGCAAAACACTGGCTTCGAATCTTTAATGTCAACAAGTTTTACAACAAATCATCGAAAAACATCGATCAGAACTAATGAACAGATAAAGCGGTGTCTTCCACCATAACAATGCCAGTAACGTACTTCTTTAGCTATCTGGCTAAAATTGAGAGAACTGGAACAGAAAATTTTAATTCATACGCCGTATAGCACAAACCTTGCACCGTCAGACCATCATCTGTTTTGGTCTTCGCAGGATGTTCTTAGTAAGGTTAATTTAACTTCAATAAAGGGATACAAAGACCACTTACCACAATTTTTTGTCCAGAAATGTTACGGTAATAGGCTCATGGTGTAACCAGAGAAATGACACGAAAGTCACCATTCAAAGCGCCGCATATTTAGTTTCGTAATAGTATTTTTCGCACTTTGTTTGAAAACCCAATATTTGATTTACTACCTACAGCCGTATGATCATCGTGATCGATAGTGAATAAATTCTTCAGATCAACGTTCGATTGTCTACTGGATACTCACTCTGCCCATCTGTTTACATTAAATACTGCTATGTTCAGTCAATTCTAGTGAACCTATGTGCCCAATGCAAAAAATTCAAGAAAAAGTCTGTTGACTTTTTATAGCACAAAGATCTCTTGTGAGAGTTCCCTACTCATTTAGTAGCAGCATTTGCAGCAATAGCGTCCGGTCAAATCGGTATTTCTAAGCATTAAAGCCTTCAGTTTGTCTGACAATCTAAAACAAGCAAAAATTGTCTTCTTGTGCGGCGTGCGAGCGATTCACGTCTGGTAACTTGATTTTTTGTTGGAAGACAGGAAATCTATATAAACTAGGGGAAGTAAACTGTCCCTTGGATAGTGCGGTGGTAACGTCGTTGCCTACTAATCTTGAGGTCTAGGTCCGAAGTCGTGTGCAGACACACTGTTTCGTTCAAAAAGAAAAAGCTGTGGAAGATGTAAAACTTTAAGCATATATTTAGAATAACTGAACGAAAACGCACAGGACGAAAACGGGGTGGACTTTTACAACGATTCTCGGTCGTCTCGATGAGATAACATTCGACGTTGTTGTCCACCTATTACTGATTTATGAACATAGTTAGAGATTTATTTTGTTTAGAACCTTTGATCGAAATTCGAGCTGAATTCTATTTAGCGTATAATAGAAAGCTAGTGAGGTCACTCCCACTGGGTTCGAATCAGGCTTTGACCAACTTCTCACCGCCGACTGTAATTAGAAATGCCTGCTCGTTCGTCCCTTGCTGTGCAGGAAAATCGACTATTAGCCGATGTCAAATAGCTCTCAAACAGTAACTATCTTTGAGCAGACAAAGACCACTAATGACCACAAGTCTTGCCGACAAAAGAATCAATTAACTAAGAAGTTATTTGCTTGATTGCTGTTAACATGATGATGTTTGCTTGATTGCTGTTTGATGTTTTCAGACTCTCGAAGGGCGGCAGGTGCAAGAAGTTGTCACCGGATTATTTCACACCCTTCTTTTTTACAGATCAACGGGGAAAGTAAGTTTATATTTTGTTTCGTTAGAGACATCTATACTATCGATAGACCTTACACTTCAATTTCATGCCTTTCGTTATTCGTCTTGTCAAAATAACATGCACTAATAGAAAATTGGTTATGGAAAAGCAGCTTTATATCGTGGCGTTTCTACTAAAGGATATCATTATGGTTGTTTGTCAAAATGCGCAGGTTAATTCTCTGCAGTGGGAAATTTCGATAGTGCTATGCTGCAAGCGGTACGAACTTGATTGCCCCGACGACTTTGCGATGCATTGCCTGTATGTCGTATGGGGGGGGGGAGAGGGGTCACCTTTCACGGCTCCCAGATATTTATCTGGTTGTACGTCTAGCCATGTTTGAATTGGCACTGCGACTGCTTGCTTAATGTCCGGACAGTGAACGCTTCAAGCATCTTTCTATTTCGCGGTATCTATGACTCCACAGCCGCTAAGTCTGCTGCTGACGTGGACGATACGACTGCGGTATTGTGAATTTGTTCATTAATTCATTATCGAGCAAGAACGCTTGCCACTGTATCCTTGCCGCTGCTGCTACGGCTGCCAATGCTGAGTTGAAAGAAGTTTATCGACCTCACCACGGTGGGTGTCGACGTCACGCAGGCTGGCGTTGGCGGCAACAGCAGCGCCCAAGTTTGTTTAGGTGTTGACTGTGATGTAAATTTGACAAATCCGGGCAGACGGTGGGCGGCAACGTGAGGCCAAAAAGAGCGCCAGAAATATGCCATTTGCTATTTTTTGATTGTTTCTTGGATGTGTACGAATGAAGAAGATATTCGTGTTGCAACTAATAATGTTCTTTACTTTTCTATATGGTTATACGGCTTATTTATGACATTTTCATAAGTAAATACAAAGGCACAAGGTCTAAATCGAAATAATGTATAGGTCTTAGTTTGGAAGCTATTACACCCTTTTTCGAGATCAACGATATCAGGAAAAAGCAATTTGGTGGAGCAGAAGATCTTAGATTTTTCATTGCTATTCCTGACTGGTAGTCAGGATGCTTAGAAATGATTCTAGTTGCACACTAGAAAGTCGTACGTTAGATTCGGCACGTACTATTCTGCTTTCAACTTGATAAACAGAAACTAATTTTAGGACTGAAAACGTCAGAAAGGACCATTAGGCATAAATCAGTATAACAAAAATATCTAGATAAATAAATGTGCCTTTATTATATCCTCGTCAGTTACTCACTTTTATATAACAGTACTTATTCCAAACGTAATCTCCAAACGTACGTTGTTTTCATCTTTTCACTTCTGCCGCAGTCCAGTTTGTCCAATCTACGCGAGCGACCTCAGACAACAAAGCAGCCTCATGACGAATAATTATTAGTAAAAAGCGGAGCATTTTTGATCTATTTCTGAAGTAAGTGGCGCTTGTGTAGCACGCACAGAGGCACAACTACGAACAGTGCGCCATCTGTTCAGCTTATGCATGTTTTTGCCGCGTTGTAGCAGGCATCGCGTGGGCTAGGCAATGTCTGCCCGTCCTGTTAGTTACGTTGCATAGTTGTTGCACTCTTGGGACATTTCTTTCTTCCACGACTTCAACAACCTTTCTGACTCGCTTAAACGGTGATAATTCATGTTGTGCGGTAATCACCTACCATTTCATCAAAATCGAAATCCGGCAAACTATAGGGCTTTAACACCAAGATCACAAGCGGTGCCAAACTAGCGACTGATACATCAAAGAGGGCTAACGAGCATGTTTTCTCAAAAACGCTCGGTGGCAGCTTTCTTTTGCCTCATAGAAGACACGTTTCGGGCCTACTTAATTTAACTGAATACGATTCATTCTCTTCGTAGAAAGAATACGTGAACATTTTTAAAACAATCTAACACAGCTTTTGATGCAAACGAAGCACTAATGATATCTATGATATACTGACTATCTGTATAAATAGAATAGAACTAGGAAAGTCGCGCTGTTGGATCGGCCTGTTCTAGCAGACAATCGATGTGACAGCGTTTTTAACGCGCGCATTGAAACTGGAACACAATTGCAAAAAAAGACGAAAGCAGTAGATGCCTTTGTAGACATGGAATTTATTTTGCTGGCCAAGGTGAACGTCACAGTCACAGAAGTAGCGTGAGAGTGATAACTACTGAACTTTGAAGTTAACTCAAGTCTAAATTCAGTTAGCAATGCAAAGATCAAAAAAAAAAGTACAACGCACAACAAACAGCGAGCTCTGAGTATCTCGATAGGTACCGCGTAAAACTGGGATTTTGTAATTAATGTTTGGGCAGTACAATTTAGCCCGATTTCGATTTTGTCATGAATTTCATATTTGTGTCAAGGATAGGAAAAAGGTCAATAGGAAGTCTGCAATAGCTAGGCACGATACCAATGGGCTTGTATTTTAGAAGACTTTTTACATTTTTATTACTCACGCTCACACTCATGAAATGAAAATGAAATGAGATTTTTCCTAAAATAAATAACTCGGCACAAAGTGCTCTATGACTCAGACGAAGTACTGTTTTACATAAGCCGTCATCTTGCTAAAAGAAGCGGGGAAACTTAAATGCTTCGTCTGAAAGACTGGCTGATCCTAGAACTTAGGATGACTTGAAATACCTTCTAAGAATAAATCACTGCCTGCGATGGGCTTAATTTACATCCCTTAGGTAAACTCACCGAGTAGTCTACCCGCCCTGTACTTACTCATTAAAAAGTATTCCATTAACCTAAACACTTGCTGCTTTATCAGTCACAATTTTGCTATCATTTTTTTTTGTATTTTGGTGATTTTTCAGTATCATTTTAACGAGAATGGCTCGAGCTACCGTATCGGAACAATCGGATTCGAGGATGTGGCCTGCGATTTTATTGACTTTACATATGTACGTTCAATCAATTTTTCTACTCCGCTCATAATACAAACATCCACAAAACTCGTAACCCCGTAAGAGCATGAGACCGATGCCATTTCTGGTATTCTCATTGAATTATCAAGACATGCGCCAGCCTCAAAATGAGTCAGCTTCAGAGGGATAATTTAGTCAGATCATTATATAACAGCTGCCACTGGACGGTTGCGCAAATGACGGCTTTTAAGAAACGATACTGCAATTGTTTTGCGATTTCACAGGTACGCTGTTCATCGGACGAGCTAAATCGTGACTTGAACAAAGACGTATCGGGTTTTAGCAATGCGCTGCGGAACGCAGAAGCCGACGGGAGCGGCGGTGCCCGGGAGGGACAGATTCAGTTGGAATTTTACCAGCGGAAGAAAAAGAGTCGCTGGACCCTATTCGAGGAGAACATCCCATGGGAAGTATGGATGCTTAAGGTAAATATCGTAAAGCTGCCCAATGAGGCGGAGCGGCAAAAACAACGCTGTACTGCCAGCGAAGAGCTAGCTGATGCTATGTTTACTGTAGCAACATCGATGAACCGTAATGAATACGTTCCCCGGACGAATCGGGCAGAAGATCTTGATCTTATTTTCAACACTCGATACACCGATATTCAACCATACCTATTCAAGGTTAGTTTACCTTTATCAGCACATCTATGCGGGTCTCTATGGCAATTACATATAGCTCATTAGCTTAAGGTTTAAAACTGGGCATTGACACTTTGTTCGTTCCGTGCAGAAAGCTGCCGCCAGCCATTTGGAGCAGCGATGCTCAATTCAAACAGTACTGGACGTAAAACAAGGATAATTTTTGTGGGAGAAATGAGCGGACGATTTCGATTTTCCGAAAACAACTGTTGTGCGAACTAATGCTAACTAAAGCTGAACAGCGTGAATGTTTGTATTTGCAAATAGCTCATTATATGTTACAGCTGTGTGACAACGAAATAACAAGATGTCTTACGCGCGGACGTTTGTAGGGACTAAAACTTTTCAGCATCAATATTCTATTGAGTTAAACTAGCGTCTAGTCATTTTTTAATATCACACCCGTAAACTTGAAGTTCCACGACGGTCGTCTAATCCTCTTATCTAATTCTTACAAGTCACTATTACTAACGAAAAACTGTTATTTCACGCTTGTAATAATGTTTGGTAGGTGGGATACCAGACGGAGTTCGATGCGCAATCTCCCACACTACAAAGTACCTTCAAGAAAATGTTTCGAGGTACAATCGCCGACTTGCTCTAAACCTTGCTGGAGGCCGTTTTCAAGTTACGAACAACTGATTCGTCGTGTCGAAATTGGATACGCTTTGACTAAATTTACGCCTTTGATACCAATGCCCATAAACAAGATAAAAACAAGAAGCATGAAAGGCTACAAGGTACGCAAGTGCGAATAAATGCAAACCGAGGACATCAGCGAACTGAGCATACTGTGGAGTCAAAGTAAAATTAAAAACGGCACTATTAGCGAACTTTAGCGGGCTGAGTTCCGCTATGAGCCGTTACCTTGCCATGGGCTATTAACGATCATGGTCACGACTACGACAGTGAGCAGACTTCGGTCCAATGTGTTTACAAATTTGTGTTCATCGATTTTGAGTTATGCCGCGTACGTTTTTCAATCTGTTCGTACTTCGTACCGATGGTGACCGAGTTAGGCAATGTGGTTGAAATACGCACCTCCGAATATAAAATACGAAACAGAAGAGCAAGTGAACATTGTACTATTAGCAGTGCTGATGGAGAAATATTTGTTGCTAAGGCTTGAAGCATGCCATTCAACTTTGCCGTCATATACGGAAGAAGAGGAGAGTACACGTAACTTTTGAGGGACACATCTGATGGGATAGACTTAGAAATTAAGTACGAAGCTAAATCTATGCTATTTAATTTCACATTGGCAAGATTCGGTAGGATAGATAACATGAGACAAATGACATAATCTAACATGAAGGGGTAACCATATGGTGAGAATAAGTAGTATAAAAACCAACATACGGAAAAGTCGCCGAAGAAATTCTCGTTCGAGATCAACACAGGCCTTGATGAATTTTACATCTACTAAGTTCGCATAGAAGCGGACTGGAAACTAATCCAAATAATGGAGTAAGCGGAGTAGATCGTACACTGAATCGTTCCAAGGAACACGAAGACAAACGCTTTTGATTTGATTGAGACAAAGTTTTTGATTACGACGACAGATCTTGACTGAGAAGGGGACAAAATGATAGAAGGTCAAGGTAAAGGGAAGTCGAAATGATAGAAGCTTATTGCAGGAGGAACCCGTAATCATCAAGGAAGGGCACAACGCTTAGAAAGTTAGAGTTTTACGGCCTGACAAACAGAGGGAAAAGTAAGCGGCGTCTGTGAAGGGGTTTTGAGGACGATTATCGGGATGTGCTTCAGTGAAAAAAAAGATAATCATTTGAGTGGAGCTATTGCTTATTATATCTACTATACAGGTATTATGAGCAAACTTACTAATGATACTAATAGAAAGATGAATAAATATAATTGGGCAGACGTCAGACGAAACAACAGGGGGATATGGTCAGGCGGAAAAAGAACTGGCCATGTACCACGATTTCAATATGAGAACAGTTACAACAACAACAACAACAACTGTAAGAAACTATTGCTCTTATTGAGTGATACTATTATATTAATTATTTTGATGTAGATACTATTATTAATTCATATAATTACTACCTATTAACTACCACCATTAGCACTAGTACTCCTTTTACGATCACAACAAACAGATCTAACCACCCTATGTACATTGTCACCACTGTATGTCAGTTGTATATATGACAAAATGGAGCAAAGACCTAGGTGATCATCCTGTTATGATTATTGAAATCATATTAGTCAGCTTACAACAATTTTGAGAATTATACACGATCGGGGGGTAGGAACACAAGGAAATAGCCGATATGAGAAACCATGCGGAAGAAGCGGCCGGCGAGGGAACGTTGGGGAAAAATGCCGAGAACATGATTGAAGAATAGGCGAGGTAGCAATGGAAAATTAAGAAGCTAAGAAATAGTTCGGCAAGGAGCAACACGATGGGCTAATAACACATGGCAACAAGTTGATCATGGGAACATATAGAGCCATGAGAAGTCATCTGATCGCACATGACGAAAAAAGTCTGCTCTAATTATTGTTATTATAACTACTGCCTAGGATGGTTCGGTGACAATAAAGCAGGCCATGGTCGATCCCACGGAGCATAAATAAGAAAAATAGAGAAATAAAAACAGACAAGGTAGTACTGAGGCGTTGTAGCAAGTAACATTGTCTAGAATTGTCATATATATATATACACACTGTCTTGTAAGGAAGTCATCTGTTCTAGTAGGACTGATAACTTGGAGCGAGTGACAAGCCTCTCTCACGCTTATGTACAAGAAGACGAAGAAGCGGCGGTGATTCTTAAGAACACGAAACGTATTCAGAAAAGAAGAAACTTCTTTGGACAAAAAGCAACAATGGTAGACGTTTCATATGTACGTTTAAGCGGGCTTGCGGTGCCCCTTCGTCATGAAGCCCTTTAATAGCAAATTGACGGAAACGATTTCGAGACAATGAACATAAAGGGAAATGGCTGATACTGTCTAGTTTTTTTGTCGTTGTAGCAACAAATATGCCGACGCTAATAATGATTAGTGCTGATAATTGTCGTAGTAATTAATAAAACGCTGATGGTCATAATCATAAAGGGAAAAGATGATTAGAGTGAGATGAGTGAAAGGAATATATAGGGAGCGCGCAGTTTTGAGCAGGCCGTTTGATGTGATCAATTGAAATAATGGCAGCGAAGGCCAGAAACTAATAAATACTGATAAAAAAAGTATGAAAGATAATGAAAGAAGTCTATTGTAAAGCGAGCACGCGAAGTGAATGCGGACTCAACAATAAAAATAAGGAGGACGGTTTTCCACGTGATACCTAGTTACCAGGATGATGTCTTTGATTACTTATTAAGTATTGGATAGACGCATAATTGGTGTCTACTTTGGCCTATTGACCTTTTTCCTATTCCTTTGTTAGTTAATACTCAATGATAAACTATTGGAAAGACTTTTTTTGCTCCGATACGTTTTGTTGCAGCATTGATTTCATATCAAAAAATGTCGTGTTCGACTTCAAGCATGGCCACGATGGTGACTGTAGACTGTTTTCAATGGGTCTTAATTGTCTTTTTGCAAAAGATGATTTTAGGAAGCTGAAGCTTGAACAATCTAGAATGCACGCAACGATTGATACGCGCCATAAGTTTCATGGATTACTTTCGCATTTGTTTGATACTAAAAAGATATATGAAACAACAGATGAGGACTAGACAGGGCTGTTTTTATCCACACGATGGACCGCCAATCGCAAGCTGAAGTACAATTCTATGATCTGGATGAAACGATGACAATAACCTTTTAAGAATACGAAAACGCTCTTAGACGCTATATAATGCTAGATCTTCAAAAGGAAAGAGAAGCCGCATGCAGAAACAGCCACGACTTATACACCGACCTAATAGAGAAAAAATGGAGGTACTGTTTTCTTGCAGAGAACTACAAGGTTAATTTTCTTTTTTAAAACACATAACTTATTCTACATGTCTATTGTTAGTTTTCGTAAGAGATCTATTATTTCGTTAAGATAATTATGACGTAAATAGAGTCAACCTAAGAAAAATTCTGATTGGTCGGCCGTGAGGGTGGCAAGCACGAGGAGTGAAATAGCCGTTATTGCATTGCAAATTAGCTTTTCATGACGTAATGAAACTCTGCCTTCAATTAGATTTCATTAGCTAGCCCTTATATGGCGTAGGAAATTCAGATTTTGTAAAAATCTGAATAATTTTTTTAGTGCGTTTATCCCCTAATTGATTTTGATATTCACTTACAACAAGATTATAAAAAGCTTTGTAAAATGGCCTTTCAATAACACGTGACACAAGAGGAATTATAGATTTTTACGACATTTATTCGGTAATGGTCGACTGTATCCTTGTGCCTCGCATACAAAATAATGCCCCATTCAGTCTGTGATAAAGTAAAAAAAAATATGCTAATACAGACAGAATAGAATTGTTGAGAAGCGATCACTTAAAATATACTTTGTCCACATAAAATATACGATAAGGTTCGTAAGGCCCATTAGATACTTCAAAGTTGTATATAAAATAGCTAAAAACCGTTTCGAAATAGCTTTGCGCCCGTCATCAATGGAAATAAGCCCTTAGGGGCAAGGTTGGGCCAATATAGAATCGTCAGAGTTGCTGTTCGTTAACCACATATACTTCGAATTGGTCTTCTTCAGATAGAACGCGATCAAAAAGACTGTTCCTTAGTCGAATTCGTCGCTCCCTATCTTGTAATCTGAAAAGTTAACGGTCTATTAGAATTCTCACTTTTGCATTATCGTAAATATACTCATCTGGTAAATAAATACAAATTAAAACCCATAATAGCCGTACGGTAGTGTTGTGTCGTTTGTAAATGGCCGCCAAAAATAAGTTCCTATTGATTCTGCAAATTTTTACACCTGAAGTGTAACTTGACAAATCGACACTGAATCGGGCCCAAACAATTTATCCGTTATTGCAGGCACTGCTCTTGGTCAGAGCAATGACCCTGGGTCCGTATTTGAATTTTCCCTAAGGTTCCACAGTCACACCTAACGAAGCTGACTGGAACCGTTGTCCATTATTTACACGCATTATACAAGTTAGATAAATATAGTTAAACTGTAAACCAATTCATAATAACAGCATTATTATTGTTGAATAAGACTATACCTAGTTGCACAACTAAAATGTATTTCTTCGTGTGTTATTAATTTCACTGCATAGTATCGTATTGTTTTTTTTTGTTATTTACTTGCGTTGTTTCTCTTCAGCGCTGAGTGTCCACTGGGGTCGGGGTTGGCTATTGCCCGTCTGATCTGTGCGAAGTACTGGAGCTGCACTAATGCCTGAGCATCCAGGCACAGGGTTTCTCTTCTCGTCGATGTCGATCCTTACGGCAATCCTCGTTTCAAGCGGAATCTCTTCCTGTACTGGCGTTACGTTCGACGTCTTGCAGTTATCGTTATTAGTCAACTTGTTGAGAAAAACAGGCTCCATCTGATCGTTCTCGAACAATGTAAAGGAACGTGATGGAAGCGCGGAATGCAATGGAGTCTAAAAATCACAGATTTGTCGAAAAATGTCAGCCAGCTCGTGGCCCTAATTTAATATGCCATCAATCTATAATGCAAAATAATTAATTAGAGTAGCTACTTACCGTGTTGATTGTCTCTAAAGCTAAGATTCGTGCTATTATTGCTAGACATAAAGTAGAAATTACAGTATAACCGTTAGTTCGTTTGCAGTAAAATTGTTTACAAAAGTTATAGCCAGCCCCGCACCACACTAATTATATATTTATACGTTATAGAGCAGGTGGAAGTTTCAATTTTGATCGGTTGAAGGCCAGCTAAACTATATTTAAAGACTACGAAATTATTTTGATTTCGTTTGTATTTCAATACAATATAATGAATAGAGGTGATCTTGTTCATGTATACGGCAAACAACACACTAAATAGAAGGATAGCAGCTATTTCAGATTTCTAAATCGTAATGTGATTTTTCGGATAATTTTGTCCAGTTACCTACCATAATTTTCCACCATTTAAAAGTATAACGTTTTGGATCTAGTTTCAAAGCAACAACACGAGGGTCAGCGTCTTAATCTTTTGGACAGACATCAGCTGTGATAACCTTCCATTGAGTTAAAGGGAACTTGTAGCTATTCAAGAAAATTTTGTATAAGACATTGTCGCTGTCTAATTTTTAGTGGCTTTGTAAAAATTTAAAATAGAGAACACGTTAGTTATATATCACGCATGGTCTGTAATTTCTAACACTACGATAGACGATCGAGTGGATTTCCTTAGATTCAATGAGAGTAGACCGCGAAAACATTTGATTAGTTTATGTTATTGCATTGTATTGTTATTATTGTTGTTATTATACGCACGGTGATATGAGACGTTGCTAGTAATTATACTGCAGGCATTGTGGGTTACATTAAAGAGAACTTTTGGATGTTCTAGAATGATTTATGCGAACGACGTTTACCCTCAGTCTGGTCGAGTCGAATCTTCGCCGGATATGGGCTAGATGCTTGAGTGATTGCCTTTTGAAGTTCCCATCCTTTGACCTTGAATGTAGATGACACGTTAGGAAATATTGGCACCGTATAGATGAATTCTAAAGGGCGGCTTTTCTTAGCCTTAGCCATAATTTTTAGAACTATCCCAATTGTAATGAACGCCGCAACATGTCAATTATCACGTCATTTATCTCTTTATTTTATATAGAAACTATTCTTATAAAGGAGTAGTTTCAACCCTGGGCTTTACGATTTGAGTATTCACCCAGAAATGTGGGACTCGCACCCACGTTTCTCGGCGAATACTTGAATAAATATACACGTCTTCCTTATTTTTTGCTTATAAATCTGGGTGGTGACCATGACAGTTACGATGAGATTTCGGTTTGACTTCATGTACCATTTTCCTTGCCGAATTATATTGATATAATGATTAAATATCTTTTCGATATGCTTAAATATATATGGGCATATCATTCTAGATATGGATAAATTTAGATATATGTATGTAAAAATGGATCAACCAAGAGGCAAACCGTCTATTTGTGGCTCTAGCAATACTAACTGCAAATCAATGAAAGGACATAATCACGATTAAGGTTTCACCTTGTAGGCGATAACAGCATAACTATTGGAACCTGAGTATCAATGAAAGCTAGCCACTAATGCATCCTCTCGAAGAGCGTCGATCTGCTCGAATGTATTATAGTATGAGCCGAATACATACGAAAAACGTCGCTGTGAAAGGAAATTGACTATCCTTCAATTGGCTTAACGACTCTGACGCCGCGTTTATGTATACCGCATCATGCCAATAGAAGCGAGGTGATCGTGACGAAATGTTCAATGCGACGCCGTCTTTTGACTCAGCCAGCCACCCTGTTTGATTCTTGTTCATTGTAACGAGACGCTCGCACACTAAACATTGGTCAATTTCCAGGCCTTCTAAGGCATGTAGACCTGCGCTATCGAGAGACCGGGAGACTCTTAGTATAGATATACAATCAAAAAGCGTTGCAATAATGGCTAAAGTGAAGATAGGTGGTTATAATGTCGAACTCCTTGGTAAATATAAGAGGTTTAGTTATGCGTTTGTATGGCCATAAATATCCGACGCAAATCTTGGACTCGGCGCGAAGATCTTCGACTGTTTAATTCGACTCATTATGTGCTTTTCCTGACTTGATCCTCAACTATCGTTCTGTGTAAACAAACCTATGGAATAACTTTTTGGCACTACGGGAAGATCTTCGTATTTGGGTTTCTTCAATAAATTTACATAACGATAACCCTATCAGCAGTTTCTATGGCTATCATCTATTTATTCTTCCTATTTATCTTCTATTTATTCTTCCTTTTTCGCAACTCTTTTGTGGTCGCCCATCAGTGGTGCACTTGTAGCCAAAGGTAGCCGGCACGCTTTTTTCCTATAATGCCATGGCAACACACTTAGAGCTGTGAATACGTATCAATCCCACGAACCACGCTGCTCCATGGTTAGATTCACTGGATAAATTCGATTTAGGAAAGAACTGGAAACTTTTAGAGCCTCTTGTGAGGCTTCCAATTCACTAGTTCAGCCCTGGGTCAGCTAAAATCCCAACAGCAAAGTTTGGGGACAACGATTTTTGTTGACAATAAAATGAACACCATTTGCGAATTGTGGCATTAAAGAAGCGTGTCTATCTATTAATGGTTCGCCAAACGCGCCCTGTCCATTTGGAATAAGGGGTATTATTACTTACGTTTTACAGCAGATACAAATGGCGGAGCTGAAAGCGAGTACGCCCAGGACCAAGAACAGAGCTGAAATTTAATGCAGAGTTAGCTTTAATTACTACATAGATTCGTGCTATGTCAGAGATGCCTTATTTTCTAAAAATGATTGAATATGGAATGAGAAGCACCTTCAACTTAGATTTTTTTTCTACCAGATCTAGGAGCTTTTGTAAATGAACGCGGTCGAGTCAGGTCCGTACGCTAATAGCGGTCACCAGCTCTTGAATTTCAATATGGGTTATTTGTATGAATAGTAGGCGGCCAGTGAATGGCTAGAAGACCATTTCCTTGTAGCATTGCTGTGCTCGGTATCAAAATGTTTCCTCGGAAATTCGGTGACTGAACAAAGTGGAGAGCACGTAGTCTTCATAAATTTATAGTTAGTCTCCTTATGATCGTTAGTAAACACATAGTAGCGACTGTGCCGACCTGACCTAGGAACCGTCAGCTTATTTGATGTATAGCTTGCGCGTATATGAAAACTCAACGGCAAATCGATTCCTTTTAATATAATTTAGTTTCTTTGTTACTTGGACATACTGAACAATGGGCAATAGTTGTTTTCCTTATAATCCAACAATGTTGATAAATCAGTAGCTAATACTTGAGCAGTTCAGAAAAGAGTGGTAATAGATGTTACACAAATGTTTATCATAACTTGTTTTTTAGCAGAAGTTTCATGTTAGTAGTAATTTGTTTTTTGCAATTGTTAAAATGCACTTTGCTTTTTTTTATAAACGTGAAGTTTCATTTTTGTCTTACGAGTGTTATAGTTCACACATTGTGTACGATGTAATAAAGTATCGGTTGTTAAAATTTAAAAACTAAGTCTTATTAAAATGATAAAACGCCTAATTGTCAAGACATTTTCTTGTTAACACTACTTAGTAAATGTGCTCAATGTGTGTACATATAGTCGTACACATTAAACCATTAACGAAGATGACCTTTACAACCTGAATTTCTTTTTTCGGAAGAAAAATATAGTTGGGCCTTGCCTCAAAAACATACCGCACAAAATGATCGAGCGGTCAGTGCTTTCCTGAATTACTTGTGAATCACGACGTCCAAGGCGGTCTTCGTTATGCTCTTCAGACAATAAGTGATTATTATGTTCTCTCATGTTTGTGGAAAGATGCTTGTAACTATCTTCTTTTGACGGAGTTCTAATGAATATATATTTTCCTTTTTCTTGCAGCCCATTTACTGGGCTTTTACCATCTAATGAGCATTTTAGCATTTTATCGAACATCCTTGACTTTGTTATTAGTGCACAGGGATACGCAATCTTAATTCGATTCGTCCCGTATTTCTGGGCTACTATATCGTCAATTGAAAATCTCCATATTTCACACCAAACACCTGAAACGATGCAAACATTGAGTTCAATGGAGATCGACCGCTGCCTGTTTCGCAGCTTAGGCGCGTCTGTTCGTTGGTGACAACAGCTGACAGCGATAAAACCTGCACAGGGCATAAAGATTCCTTGTGTTTTTACCCTCTCATGGTGGGGTGCTTGCATGTCAATGCTTGGCCAATATAGTAGCTATGATGGTGCAGTGGTAACATGCTTGTCTATTGAACTTAGAGACGTACGTGAAACTGCCAAGCTTGCGTGCTCAAAAAAAGACCTGCTATTTGCAGTAGTTTTTAATAAGAGCGGTAGCACCGAGCGTAAACTCGAAATATTCGTTAGGAATAGCGACTTATTCAAGATAACTAACTTTAAGTAATGGCTTAAATATATTAAGAGTGATGACCATTTTCGTTAAAAACGAGACGTATGAATATCTTTATATATTGTCAGATGTATTTGTTATCGTACGCCATGATTTTTTCCTGTTTAGGCGATCTCATAGGCGATAACTGATATACGAGGAACCTTTTTGAGAAGAGGCCTAAATAAAATCATTCTTTTTTTTTGAGATTATGCGCAATTAACAATAGTTTTACATATTTTTTAAGGCCTATACTACAGAAAACCCTATATATCCGACCACATAAATGGTACTGTTCGATATTTTGTTCTGAACCTTATAATCATCAGGTTCGAATCGCTTAAAATACCCTTTATGGTCGTTGGATTTGGATGACACTCATAACATAGAAAATATTTGACTCGCATAATCTGCAGGTAGAGTTGTGTATACAAACACGGCGCAAATGCGCGCAAAGCTTTGATACGTATTGGTATAGATGAAGTAACCACTCCATTTACAATTAATTTAGACTATGAACGCTTAAGAACAGAAATTTGTGGGATCACAGAACACTGGATGTTTATACAGCAAGCTACACGACATTATATAAACATAATTTTGTAAGATTCGCTCAATATTTTAACCCGACGCCCAGCTATAGCCTTGTAAAGGCAAAAATGTATGTTGCTACATTTATTGTCACTGATGGTGTTTGTCCATCTAAAAACAAGGTAAATTTTTTACCTTCTTTTGAGAAGAAATTGTTGTGAGTGTGTATGCGTAAAAAGCTCAAAGGGTTGTCGTTTGATTTCGACGTGTTTTGCAGTAGTCCAGTTACTTTCGCTAATAAGTGCATACTTAGTTACGGCTATACGGCAACAATAAAATTATGACGCGCTGTTTATGGTAGACGTTTGACGTTTTCCTGCCTAAATACGGTGATTCCTGTCACTGTGGCAGCAAAAGTGGTATACAATAATGGACGCGATTAACAGACTCGTAAGTTAACGAAGTATTTTGGCCTTTATGTCCGGTGTCTCTTTCTTAGTTAAGGACCGCACATTTAAAGTTTTATTTAAAAAAAAAAACATATTCAAATGTACACATGTGTAACAATGCATGATTGAAGTTCTACGTTTATGTTAAACACAGCTTTCTACTAATTATTCTGGTAATATTTGTTTATTCGATAATGAGGTGCAATTCGGATCTTTCATGTATTTGCAGAATTTGCTGCTCAAGGAAAAGTATATGAAAAATTCGTAGGGGCTAGGGTGGGCTACTGCTTAGTGACTCGGGGGGCCCCTAATCTGTTTTGCTGTCAAAGAGGTCTTTGAAAGAAATATGTTCCTTTATATCAGTTGAAAGCTGAATCTAAAAATGATCAATCCAAGTAACTTATACGTTCCTATACCTAAACCAATGTTTCCACAAAACCAAGAAGAAGCAGCGCTTCTCCGTCACTTAAGACGACGCTTAGATAAACGAAGCGACTGCCGCACAGCTGGACAGCCACGTGTATTGTTGTACACTGCAGTACAAATGTACACACATATAAAATTGGCATGTGCAGGTGTACAAGTCAAGCAACATTATTGTTATTATTATCTAGATAATAATAATAATAATAATAAAAGAGAGTGCTGGCCGTATATCTAATGCTTTTCCGATAGTAGCGGCAGCAGTCGAATACAGACCAGACCGAGTGACAAAATCACTATTTACTTGCTGAAATGACTCGTAGAAGTTCGTGCACAATGAAAGGCAATGTGATACTTGTTGCTTTAAGAGATAGTATAGATCAAGCGTAAACTGATTGGAACTGTTGATAAAGAAATTATCAATAGACATCGCAAGATAATTCACGGTGTTGATTCCCTGATGAAGTTGATATTTTGCGCAAAAATTCCTGCGTGCAGCGATGTTAACTGCAAAAGTTTTGGATCTCTCATAGACATGATAGGCATGTCATGACCTAGTGGCCATAACTTGTTAATTACGCTCGATCTGACGCGGAGGGAATATGTCCTATTACCCCGGGGACAACTGATGATTATGCGGTGGAAAGGGTAACTCACTGAAGCTAAGTCTCACTCAGAGCTACGGCAACAAAATAAAAGCTAAAATGAAAGTGATACCGTGGCGCAGGCGCAGACCGAAAAACGAAGAGAAAGAGAGGGAGAAAGCGGAGTTCGCGCGGGCCACGCGATATCTAGATAGTACCGAGAAGGTTAGGTTCACGGTTAAGGTTGCTCTTGCCGTTTGCTTGTGAGCTGCGCACGCTATAGCAGGACCCACACGTTACCAAAACGACCATTGACTTCCTCAACCACTATCATTATTAACGGATGAAGGTAGTGAAAGGTGACATCAGATACATTCATAGCGCGAGGACTGTTTGAAGAATGGCTGAACTCCCGCCGCACTACACTTTACTGCGCAGGTGCGCGCACCGTCGCGCTGCCTACTCCGCACAACATTTAGCGGCGCTATATGTTCTCGGGTAGTCTAGGAAGTACTGCACAGTAAGACCGTTTCGTGCTGTTGGCTAGTAATGGGACTGGACGCGGCCTTGTGAAGGTACCATCAGTAGCTGTCGTTATAAACGAGGGTTATAGCGAAAGAAAGGGCTTTCGGCCAGACGGGAGCCGACGCCGGCGCTCGCGTAGTCGGTTGCTGGATGGGTGAGGGTTGTCGAGACCTGTATGTGCTGCTAAGTTCTTCTATAAACTGAGGTTAAGTTGCTCCTGCTCCTGCTCCTGCTACTGCTTCTGCTGCTGCTGCTGGTGTTGCTAATTTTACATACGGTGCTGGCCTCGTCATCATCAGCTGCATCATCGTCACCGTCGTCATTCTATTAGTTAAGGAAAAATCGTCTGCTACCGTAGCTGTCGCTACGGCCCGGCCAGGCCTGGCCCGGCCCGTGCCTGTGTGTCCGTTGACGTGCCGCGCACTACATTACGATGTGGAGAGAAAGGGCGGGAACGAGATGGTATTTTTTCCCCGACCGTGGATCCCTGCGATGAGGGCAGCAGCAGCCTCCGCCGCCGCGATGTCAGTATTAATAGCGGTGACGACCTGCGAAACGGCGAGTTATTCGGGACAGAGCCGCCGCCGAACAGCAAGCAACCTGCTGACTGCCGCTACTGCTGCTGCTTCAGAGTGCGAGTCATAGCCCGCTAAGACTGGACCCGGTTCAGATGGCTCTCGTTGAGTTAGCTTGTCTCTTGTTAGCCGCTTATCTGGCTGTCCTCTCATTCGGCCATCGCCTTGGATACCAGCAAGGAGCAGAAGAACGTTCTCAACTCGCCAGGCAAGTCGTCTAAGCAAAGCGGCTGTGGCGAAAACAGGTCCTTGTGGGACACCGGAGAGGGCCACTGAGTCGGGAAGCTCTTGATCTGGAAATCGGCCACGGCTTGCTTTAGTTGATACGGCAACAAAGATACAAGAAGGCGTAGGGCCAGTAAAGAACGACAGCCAGGACAGCAGAAAGCTGCGATAGTTCTGTTTACCTTTTCCCTTTTTCAATCACCTTCATTCAGTCATTCAGCAAAACGAGCTTACACGAGTTCTCCACGAAGACAACGACTCACTTAAATCCCAAGGCAAGTGTTGGCCTTCCAAGACAGTGGATCAGAGAAAGTGTCAGTGTTTGGTGGCGCCTCAGCTTGACCTGTCTTCAGTCACAGCCCGTTTATCTATTTTAAGCAAAACATTATGATGCTCTTCAAGTCGCCCACGTCATTATCATTACCATAATCGCCATCCTCGTTCTACAAATAGCATCGATAAAGCATTCCGCAACGAGCGCTTGTCCTTTTTACTGGCTCTGCCGGTGTCGCATGTTCATTAGTTCGCGCTGTAGGTTCACTGCCCAAAATCACTAATCGATCAAAAAGAAGAAAAAAGACAGAGATTGCATTGGACATAGTCGGCTTCGTGGATGCCGACCGACGCAGCCGTCGACGATCTAATCCGCGGAAACGTTTTTAGGGAAAAGTTTTTAGGGCGCTTCGACGTTATCAGGCTTTCCTTATTGTATGTGTTCCTTGCTTGAAATTCAATTTTAGGCGTGACACCTCGTTCGTGTATTGCTGCCCGGGCGCGATCTCCTTTCCTAAACCGTAGATTCAAATGTGCGTGGATTTTGTGCATTCCTTTACGATGAGTCCTGCGGTTTAGCTTCCCTCGATCGTGCCTATCAGCGGAAGATAAGTTAAATCGTTTTTTCTTCAAAGAAAAACAAGAGACAGGGAGAAAAGCAGCCGTTGTATCCTATCCGGGGCCCGTCATGGCAGACCTGTCAGTACTGCATTTATCACAGATAATTTTTCATCTACGCTAATATATGTCCAATCCGTCTAAACGTGATGCTCTCATATGGCCTTGCGCACGCCAAACTGGCATGTCAGTATTGAATTTGTAGGCTCCTTTTCGTGAGGTTGCGTGACGAACGCGTATGCGAGATAGTTTCGTCCACAACGTTCAAAATCGATCTCAGTGTACCATGCAATATCATTGGCGCCGTCCTAATGTGTGCAAAAAGGCCCCATTGTGAAGAGGTGACGACGATGTACTCCGGGGCGTGTCGTGTTAGTTTTCTTGGAGAACGCCCAGGCCGATCATAGGCCATGAGGTACACCCACCTCAAAGTGGACCTTGTAGTAAGTAGTATCAGCCATTCATTAGCAGGGCTAAAAAAAGCGTGCTACTATTAGATAAAACTTGGCCACAGCAATATCCGACGAATGATCGACGAGTCAAAGAGGTGTCAATCGAAACTAGAGACAAAGCGTCAGCACAACGCTTACGACACCGTAGCTTTCGCTAAGCTAAGAAGAAGCTGGAGTGAGCTGCGCGCTGGATACATCTACTCCCATAGTTGGCGCCGCTAAGGGCACTGTCTTCACCATTACTGCTAAGGCCACGGGACAGCCGCATCCCGGAGGCTCTGGGTGCATCGAAAAAGCATGCTGGCACTATGTCGAATGATCAGACCAGTGGCCAGCCTGGTCCAAGAAGCATAGGAGTGCAACAGAAAACGACGATGGTGTCGGACATACCTAATCGCCTAGAATAGACTACATTCGGTTCGAGCCGGTCAGTGCAGGAAAACAAAGGAAAGGGCGAAAGTCACAGAGCGAGCAAAGGAAAAATGAATAGAAAGTCTGCGTCGAAAGATGAAGATTTGACAAATAGAACTGACATAACGGACAGAGAAACCGGATTGGCCGTACCTATTTCGCCATACACAGCTGACAAAAATATGAATACAGTATTATTAAAGGGGCCCAATCTGAGTGTTTGTTTGCATGCTCAAACCCTACGATAGTAGGATCATATTGTTATTAAAGTTACGATCTCGCGCTATAACGTAACAGGCCAACTGCAGTCCTGAAGTTAGCCGATTGTGTTTTGCAGTTCAGAACGGTTAGCCAAGTTATCAGCAAAAAAGCATCTCGGCATTGCTGCTTGTACTCGCTACAAGCAGCCTATTTCGGTGAGTAAGAAATAAAGCGGTATTAACTAGCAGTAAACAAACGTATGCGAACATATAAAAACTAATATATATATATATATA